ATGACTCACATAAATCTAGGGGATTCACGCCAAATTTTATTTAGCAAAATCTATTTGTATTATTTAAATCATGTAAAATTCACGCTAGATTTCAAATATTTTGTATTATTTCCCGAATGCGTTGTTTTTGTTCATATTCACCTTGAACAATATGTTCTGGAAGTGGGTTTTGGTGGATCCTCAGGATCGTTCAAAACTGCTCCCGGTTCTGGAAGTTGGTTTTGGTGGATCTTCAGGATGGATCAGACTGGGTTTGACAATTCCCTGGTCCATCCTGAGGATCCACTTCCAGAACCAGGATCGGTTTTGAACAATCCTGAGGATCCACCAAAACCCACTTCCAGAATTTTTGAAGCGATAATGACGTCAACAGATTGGACGTGGTTCTGCCGACAGTCGGTTTATTGAACAAAATTGAGCAAAATTGAAATTATGCATACATATCTGTTTAATATGTTGAAACATAAACAAATTCATATTATTTGTTGATATTTTAAATATGGAAATTGGCGTGAGGCCCCTAGACATAAATTGCTCAATTTAGACTTTAAATGTTTTATCTTTTTTTCTAAAATCCAATAGCTTGAATCCAGTAATATGAATATGAAATGAAATGTTTATACTTCTGGTCGTTACATCCTTTTTTTTAGCAAGGGGACCCGTGTGCAAATAAAGTGACTGACAGTCATTCAGTTGTATGTAGCTGCAAATAACTAAAACTGGCTAAGTTGATTGAATTCAAGAATGTTGAATAGAAACAATCACTTTTAGTTATTCTTTCAGCCAGCCGTCTAATTTCGGACTTTTTGGCTACTAGATGACTATAACTAAAGTTGACTACAGTCGAATATTTTGTTCGAGATAATCACTTTTAGTTACTGATAGTCAGCCAAAAAGTCCGAAATTAGACGGCTGGCTAGTCAGTCACAAATTTTTCACACGGGGAATCACTTATTCAGAATATCCACAATTTTTTGAAAGTGAAAAGTTGCTAGTGGATATTTAAAATACATGGAATAAATGCATTTTTTTTAACGAATAAAAAAATTTCTTTTGTTAAATTACAACGAATTTATTTCAAATATTTCTGATCATTCTAATACACAAAATTATTACTCTTGATGAACTATGGAATATTTTTTATTGGATTCGCCCTTCTGAGATAATGCTTGTGTTTAAGTAGACTTAAAATATTTGTAGCCTTTGTAGATGATATATGCTCCTAGTGCTATTGCCGCAGAGGATGAAGCTCCCAAAATGACACTGGAAAATTTGTTCAAAAAATATTGAAATGATAGTTTTGAGATATTGGATATTGAGTTCTTTGGATGAAATTTATAAACAAAAATAACATTGTAGAAAACTATTATCAACTGAAGATCTAAACATTGAGTTAATATCAGTACAATCAAATGTTTCAACTCATGTTCATAAAAAAGTGAGGAGATTCAAGGCACTTTTCAGGATTTAGGATAAAAGAGAGCGGAACCATGACCTGTAAAAGCGATTGAATTTGTTTATAAAAGTAAGCGGTTAGTATTTTAAGTTGGTGCCGCCATGCAAACAAGCCGTTGTTTTATAAAAATGAATCAAATGGCGAAAGTTGTGTTCTTTGTTTGGACTTGAGTGATTGTGCAGAAAAAAAATCTAAGTATTGACGTTCACTCACTTCTTTTTACTGCTTGATTTCGATTTCTTCTCTGAATCCACTATTTCACCAACCAAGTACGTTTCCAGTTGTTCTCTAAAAATAGCAAATGAAAATTCATTATTATTATTTCTGTTAGACTCAAAGGTTTTCAAATAATAACTGCTTAACACGCGATTGGAGATAAAATAATATTGACATTGCGGCAAGTATTTATGCTGTTGTCAAGAACCGATTGTCACTTTGGTTGGGGCTGCCCTCCAATTTTGGGATGAATGAGAGGTAAAAAATTGAAAAATACCCTGGTGAAATTCAATTTCCCCTCCAAAACCGATTGCATATTTGGATTGCCCGCCAAAAGTTGGCTTTAGGTCCCATACAACAAAAACCAGATCCAGTACTAACTTGGATTCAATCCAGTACTTACTTTACACCACTATAAAATCCCCCCCACTTAGAATCGGGAAACCCATATATTATTGTTACACTCGCTGCGCCCTATCCATCGGTACCGGTCTCATTGCTATACGTCTTAACGGCTCAAGTCCCATACAAAACGGGACATGGTTCTTTCTGAACTTAGAATGTATTTTTTTCCATCAGTTCAGTAAACCTAATTGAATCCATTGGAAAATCTTTCGACACTTACATTGCGGCTTCACTGTGACCGACATCATTAAATTCCTTTGTGGCTAGAATTGGAAAACATTTTGAAAAAGTCTTAGTAAAGTATTTGATTTGTTAAAGTATTTATTTTCGATACCATCTTTACCACCAGCATCAATTAGAACTTCTTCACCGCCAGGATGCTGATTTGTGAAATGAGATAACAATTAAGTGGAATCAAATGTTAACATTATCATATCATAAAAGAAAGAACCAACCTCATTCAAGAATTTTGTGACATCATAGACTTTCTCATCGATTATCAGCCATAGGTCTGCTGCTTCATTATGTTCCCTAACTTGTGCATATGTAAATTTCTTTTCAGACATTGTGATGGTTTTAGAAATTTAGGCCACAATTTTATTTCGTTTACCAAGAAATGGTAGAAAAATATACCTGTTGAAAGTACTATCTGCTTTAGAATGAAAAAGACGTCCAATTAGATCTGACAGATGTATATTTACTTCTATTATAGTTGCTATTTCCAGTGGAAATATTGACATTTCATCAAGTACTCATGACTTACACTTTTTTTTTCATTCGATGACCACCTAATGAGCTTGTAATATAAATCAATCGATCAAATTTCCCAAATCCCAATAATAAAGAAAATGTTTTATTGGGAAAAACAAAAGTTCTTTTTCTGAATTCAGTGTTGCCAGACAATGATTATATTGTATATCACGTTCCATGGCTGGAAATGACAACACTGTCACATAATATATCTGTCAAACACATTGTTTTTAAATAGAAATAGAACATTTCAGTTTCAATATTTTCATGGCCTTTCTGTTGATTGCATTTGAATAATTTTTTTTCAACATAATCATTTAAATAAGAACAAATTTATGTTCAAAAAGAAAAATCATTCGAACCTCAATGATTAAATAGCTGAAAAGTACTGAAACCATTTTCTTACAAACTTAGTTACTCTCTATTCGCTTAGCAATTCACTGAGTTGAGTAAGTCCTCTCAATAGAACAATAGATATATTATATGCGTTTTTTAATTGGTTCGCTTGGTAACAAAGAATACGTGCATGTTACTTACAATAATTTATAGACGAACTGCTATGAAAAATTGGTTAATCACAATAATCAAAAACGATTTTCCTGATGCTACTGCCAAAAAAATTGATGAGAGTCGATTGAAAAATATACAGCTGAACCTAAAAATTATACTGGAAACAGTGTACTGAAGGTGGTGTAAAAAATTGTTACTAATTGAACAATGACAATGAACGACGATAGTTGCAGTTGAAGCATCTTGATTTTTTTGCCATTGACTTTTGTTTTCACACAACTCGATGTTTAATTTGAAAGTTTTAAATAAATAACCTATAGGTACTATATATATAGCAACAATAACAGAAACTCATTGAATCATATTGAGTTACAGCATTCCTACTTTTGGCTTAGTCAGCTATCAATTTAAAAACTCATAAATTTAGTACGGACTTACAATGAAGTTGATAGAAGTGGTTCAATTGTTCGGAAAAATGCAATACATTGTCAATGATGCATTGCTCTAAATTCATCGTTCCATTGTAATTCGGAATTTGTTAGAGGGGACAATTTTATGAAGTCATTTTGAATTTTTTCAATTTTGATGGGATACCTACCTACTGATTGCTTTCCTAATTATCTTTGGTTTCATGATCCTTGCAGTGATTTTTACTCATTAAATGAAGAAAAAATATATCCAGCATAGAATAAAATATTATCTCTTTTTCTTTTTTTATTTAATTTCATATATTATTTGCAATAAATTCGAAAAAATTTACGTGTTGGAATATACGTCTAATGTACAGTTCAGAAAAATACACGCCAAATGGGACGTGAAAAGATCACAGGAAGATAATACCGGATGTTCAATGTCCTTTCTCCTGTTAAAAGTCAAAGCGATTGATATACCAAACATACAAAAAAATGATCATCATGACATTTTTTTACTACAAAGTTCTGTCTGTGTCTTCTTAATAATCCATAATCCCAATACCTTTCACAAACCAATCACACTCAAACACTCGCACAGGTAAAGTGTTCAATCAGTTGACGAGTTGAAAGGAACTGCGTGTTCTACCATTACAATTACTAATTTACCAAAAACTTTTGTAGTAAGAATTCATGAATGAATTTTAGTTTTTCACGCCGAGCAAAGACAAGTTTTTTTTTTTACTCAACTCAATAACAATAATTTTATGATTGATGGTTCATCGAAAGAAAGAATAACCAAACTTCCATATTTTATTTTCAATATAGTTTTTTTCTTTCAAGAATTGGTGTAACATGACCCGTCATGCCAAACTATTTTCAATAGTGTGTAGATGCAAAGGGGCAAGCAACGACATTCTATTGACTGTGATATTTCATTGAGAACGCTCGGCTTTACGATGAATTAAGTGCGTAAGTATTTTTTTTTTTTAGATATTAGTAAGATTGTATGAATGAAAATATAGTAAATTTCGATGTTTCAATCTATAATTTAATGAATCAACTTCCAGCATTTTACAAGCAGTTTTAACCATTTCGAATTAAATGGAATTTAAGGAGAATCCAACACGTTAAATCTTTGCAATATAAAACAGTGACACATGACGATAATTGCTACATTTCCTTTCGTCTTTGAAGACGATGTAGGAAAAAAATAAAAATGATACAATGAATTTATGAATTGATATAATTTTGCCACGAAATTTTTATTTCCAGCCAAAAAAATTCAAATCTTACAAAATGGTTGTGCAGTATATGCACGGCATTTTCATTTCAGTCGGGGGAAATTTCAATGTGAAAGAAAAATATCACACCTTATCCGTTATAAATGACTGCAAATTTATTTGCTACTGTAAATAAGCAATTTATTCGAGGGTGATGACAATTTGTATGGAGTTTTTATTATTGTTTTCATTTTACAGAAACATTTGTGAATGTTAAAGCAAAACGATGTATAATAAGATTGTTTCTCTCATAATACGCGCGAATGTTTCACGTCACATCAAATAAATAGGAGTCGCGCGCACCAGATGGTCGTGATTCTAAGTATTTATCAGATGAATGGAAATCGCATTGCTACGATTCAGCGCATGCATCGAAAATAATCGTTTGATAAATTGGTGAATTCATGAGAAGGTAAAAAAAGACGTTGATATAAGAAGATATGTTAAATTCGTTCCTTTATACCTTATAGGCATTTCAAATGATTTTGCAACACCGAATGAAAAAAAAATCTCATGTTTTCGGGAAAATGTTCGTGTTTTATGTTCGCGTTTTATAGGAAAAAAGAAAGTAATAGAATTAGTTACCAAAAGTCAATTTTCGAACAATTATAATATGAATTGAGTTCAGAATGAATAAAGGGACTAAGTAAGCCCTTATTTTGTTGAAAATTATTAGGAGTACTGTTCTTGATCAATTATTATAACTTGAAAATCATCGAAGAATGTACACAATAAATAAGGTAAGGAAGCACCTTTCCACACGTAGAAGAATCCCGAGACACAGGATCTTTTAGGTAAATAAACATATCTCTCTTATGCCTAATGGAAGAAAACGTTGCTATTTATTCGTTATTTTCCATTCTTTTCATCTCCGCTTTGGACGGAGCAAAAGGAAACGATAAACTAATTTGTTCGATTGATTGCTTATGCATTGTTAACCAATACATCAGACACATTTTGTTTCCTTTGAACGTGTCTTTTACATTCTTTTTCTGCGTGTCGTGATGGAAATTTGAAAAGTGAGAAGTATTCCACGTACAATAACTCGTCACAAGTGGTGGACGAATGACACTTATAAATTTTATTCCATTCTTTCTTCCTTCTTTCTCGTCGGACTCTATTGATTGCATTCGAAGTGGTTTTTGCTTGATTGCACAGAAATTCAAATCTTCAGGGAAAAAATTATGTCAATTCACAGTGGTTATATTCATTTCATTTCGTACGACGTTTGTCATTTGTAGGAAATGCAAACAATCAAACTTTATTTTCTTGTCGAAAATCCAGAAAATAAATATCGCCCAAATATTATTTGTTAACGATGTCAAATGTATCTCAAAAATGCTGTGCAACTCGACTTCATTGCGTTGAATTGGCCCGATGTTCGGTTTCCTCTTTAATAAATTGAAACATGCCAAGCAATTCAGCATAAACAAATTCGTGGATGGCAGAAAAGAATAACAAGAAATATTCAGAAGGTTCAAACAACTTTATTATGTGCAATTCAAACGATCGTGTCAAATATAACCACGGTAGCCTTAACTTGTCCAAATGCATAAATGCACGCGTTTTAATCTTGCTGACTTTATTCGTTGGATTTGGGATGTGAATGAGAAGCAACACGATAATCCGATTAAAATGTGCTCAGTTTTTATGCGTATGCTGTATACAATATGCAGCAATATGCTTATATATACATTTATGAATATTCAACTCAAATGGATGCAACAATTTGATCGTTTTAATAAGCTTTGACTTTTTGACATGCTACAATTTATTTTCAGATGTGAGACAAGTTGACGGAAACGTTTAAAGAGTGAACTAAAATCAGATGATGAAAACGGTGAACTTAATCAAATTCGTTCGATCAAATAAAAATTGTCTACACAAATTAAGTGCGCACACCGCACACATAAAATACAAGCGTAGTGTGGAATGGTTGCGGAGAAACGAAAATCAATTTGACACTTTGGTATACGTGTTTAAAATTGAACGACTATCACTCATAATGATGCTATCATTTTGTTGAAGGCATTTTCTCTTTCAGGTTTGCTTTATTACTACTGAGCTTCGTAGTCACGATCGAATTTCTTTCAGTGTTAAGAAAACTCTCATGAAGCTCGTGTGAAGTTTTTGGGACATAGTGACAAGAAGGGAATTAAGTGGAATGGCCATTTTTGATAATCTGTTTATCTGCTTATATGAATGTTTAATTAGTAAATTCATATTCAAACACACATGATTCGATCAATCATTGATATGTTCGGCGAATACAGTATGTAAAAGAAGAGGAAAATATGAAAATGAAACGAACTGAATTGTTGTTCTTATGTGTCTTTCTTTTATTCAAAAAAAGTTAGTTTTTAAAATCATCAGGAAGTTTTAACGTGATTAACAATAATTGGAGCTCAAATTGGATTGTTCGTTTAGGCTACGATTTGCGCATGTTACTTCTCGTTCTCCACTTCGTATCTGCTCCAACATTGAGCAGATAGTGTCATTTTCGATGCGATATTCACGTTCCCCATCTTGCTCGATGGCCAGTAGCTTAATGAAATTCTTCTTAATATCGGGCTGCAATCTAAAATATATGTATGTCCCCTAACATTCAATCAAATATATCATTTATATTCCACTTTTAAACCACTTACACGACTCTCTCCGAATTTTCTGCAAAATGATATTCATTTTCAAGTTGTCTTCTCATTCTCTGAAACTGTGTGCACTCCATTCTTCATACAAACCCGCAAAAGTTTATATGTTGTTTCAAAATTAGGAGAAAAAAATATATTTTCATGAAAATATTTACCTGATACCATTGATGAACACTTGTCCATTACCTACATACATTTTTGATATGCCGTTCAGAGTTTCTTGAACTTGTTGTAAGTTTTGTTTGAAACTTTAAAATTATATTCAAATCAAGAATATGATGAATGTTGAATAAATTTGATCAAGTATAAAGTAGACAATATTACCGGTCTATGCCATGACACCGAATCAAATACAATGATTTAATCAAAAACAATTTCTCTGGTATCGAGGGAATTTGTTCACAGTTTGTTCTCAAATAATTTATTTGTGAATCCATTAAACTCCGCAATAAATTATTGAATTCAGCATCGCTAATGCAAAATGAAAATTGATTTAATTTAACTACAAATATATGATCCAAATGTATCAAACCATTCGGTTTAAATGAAACTCACGATCCCGTATTTTTACTGGCAGCAATTTCGATGCTAGAATAAATTATAATTATAATTATGAGTTTTTATGTAACCCGAATATAATTACAATGGCTTACTGTGCTGCTAAAATGCTCTCTACTGGCAAGCATCTCTGATATAGTTCATAAGACGAAGGTGTTCGTATTACAACTTCATTGTATTTAACTGTTGCGCCACTCGGTATTTCAACGAATTTGTGAATAACTGCCAATGCGTTCACGATCGCATTTGGCTGGATAGAGCTGAACATACCAATGTACGCTTTGGGTGCGACTTTGACACTCAAACCAACCAGTGCATATTGATCTAAGTAATCATCATCTCCAATTTCTGCTTCATCTGCGATGGCTGCATATTGATTCACTTTCACTCGATTTCCGAATTTCACGTCATTTCCAATTGATGTGAATCCAGCGAGAATTGAACCACGTCGAATTGTGTTGTCATTCCCAATCTTTGCAAAGTTATGAATGATTACGTCATTTTCAATAATACAGCGTTGACCAACGATAGAATGACTACCGATCTGGGTATTTTCTCCGATTATTGTCGATGGTGAAATCGTTACAAAACTTCCTATTTGTGCATTGTATTTTATTGTCACATTCGAACCAATATTTGTAAATTGACCTAAACTGACTGTACGATGAACTTGAGCCCCTGGCTGCACATTATGAAAAGAAAAACTCTAAAACACGTTCATTTATCTATGTATTCTTCACTTTCTCAATCTGATTTCAAACGCTTACCGCAACGCCATGCATAATGCACAAAAATGTAAGAAACTCAATCATGGTTCTCATCACAACAAATGAAACTAGTTTAATATCCCAAAGCGAATACTCGTCAACTGACCTACCGATTTGCGTCTTATCTGCTTCAAGTAACACTGTCTATTTATACAAATGACAAAAATCTGAATCAACATGCGTTAGTCATCAAGCGATTATATTATTATTGTTTGCTTGCGCGTTTTTTCCTAGGGGAATATCACGAAAAAATTCCACTGAATTTTCATTGATTTTTTGCATTTTTTAAAAAATTATTTTCAATTATATTAGATTGTGCGAGATATCTAAGATTTTTTCAGATATTCCGCGGCATTGCGATCTGAATACTATTGTCAGCACCACCACAATGACGACCATTTTGATAGCACGACACTGAAAGTCATACAGAAACAATATTTTTGGTTAGTGACACTTTCCATAGTGAATCTAAGGTTTTTCATTTGAAGTTTTGTGTATTTTTGTATTTTATATGGATATTTTTGCCTATATGTTCATGATTTTTAGTTTCAAAAATTTGAGAGTTCGGGCGTGCTCACTACTCCATCTTGAATTTCATTATTGAACATATCTTCAAAAATCTGCAAAAATTCACATTTGTTTTCAAAACTCAGCAAAATCTCAAATATTACACCGTATCTCACATTGTGAATACGAGTGAATAATACAGATTTTGCGGAATATTTGAAATAACATAGATTTTATTGGATTTGAAAGAAAAAAATGAGATAGAAATAAGTTTTGTGAATAAAAATCGCGTGATATTCCCCTAGGTTTTTTCGTCAATGTGTTTTGTTGTTGTGTATTTAACCAAAAAATAAGTGCCAGCTTTTTTCATGGTCCAGTCACTGAAGCGAAACATCTTGTAAGAAACGATTCCGTTTTCAATACAACACACTCAATATTATAGCGACATCTATTATTAAAATAGCTTGTAGTAAATGCATTTATAGCATTTCCCTGTAGTCGCGATGTTTCCTATTAAATTCCCTTGTAGTACTGACACATTCATGTTTGACACTTGTTAACTACATACCACAGGGGAATTTAATAGGTAACATCGAAACTACAGTGAAATGCTATGAATGCGTTTACTACAAGCTATTTTAATAATAGATGTCGCTATAATATTGAGTGTGAAAAGTCAAGACTTATAAGGCGATAAATATGTCATCGACATTCTTTCAAAGACATACAATATTTCAATGAATAGGTGAGAACAAATACAAAACATATAATTGAAATTTTTCTATAGTGTAAAATCTCCATACACTTTTGTAAAATCTCTGTCTTCTTTCGTCCTCAAATATTAAATAAGTATCACAAACTGGAACTGGAGTAATATCACATTCATTAGGTAGATAAGGTGGCTTGATAGGAACAAAGTATTTATAATATTCATTGTATGTACTCAACATATAATTGATAGGTTCAAACTTGGAATAATTTTTGTGATGCATCGGTAATGATAGGAAATCTGAGTCTCTTGTCCAATGTCGCGGTGTTTTAAAATTAATTTTGCTCAAAATGTATTTCGATGATGTATGTCCAAATATCACATTATGCACGAATGATATTTGGGCTATCTTTCGCGGTTCTTCGAGCGTAATCATTTGTAATTCAAGCAGTCGGCATTCATGCGGTGGTTTCCTGAATCTTTGTGGACATTTCATTTTGCGTATTGCAAAAAAAACAAGACCGCAGATCGTCGCTTCGCTCCTCTCTGCGTTCTTTTTGCGTTGTTTAAAATGGTTTTTTTTAACGTTGATTTGATTTTTCCATCAAATTATTCATTCAAGCACTACATGGAATGTAGTTTCAATCGAAGTATACATTTCTGTGAAAATTATTTTAATCAAAATCAATAATGTTCGACCCGGACAAAAAGTTCATTACACAAATCTTTCACTAAATTGCCGTACTTTGAAAAAATTAAATATGTAAGAGAAACATTAAAAAATTTAGTTATTAATCATATGGATACATAAATAAATATTAATATATATTAATTAAATAAATTATGGTTTTAATTATATTATTTTGGTTTTGGGAATATAAACGTGGATTGTACATTATTTCACATTGAGAATTAAAATAATATTAAATTTTTTTTTGAGTTATCTCAAACATGAATTACATGAACATGACATTATTATATTTTTGTAATTAGGCGTAATTGCTTTATTTCAAATTAGAACTTTGGATAGAAAAAAGAATTAATTCTCAAAAAGAATTAATTCTCGGTCCAAAAAAATGGCCTAAAGAGTCTTAAAAATTTCTTGGGAAAAAAAACGAATGCAATAGCCTATATTCCATGTATTCTACATTCCATGTATTCTACATTCCATGTAGTGCTAAAAATTGCTTCTGGATCGATTCAACTCGTGCAATTTTTTCGGCGGTACATGGATTCCAAATTTGGGAAGCATATTCCACAATCGGCAATACAAATGTGGAAAACAATTACTTTATGATCTATGGATCATCAAATTCATATCGCTTTGGCTGTAATGTATTCAATTTGTGCATTAAAATTCAATTTATGGTCAAGTATTACTCCTAGATCCTTTATCACGTGGACTCGATCAATTAATTTTATCGTTGCCAATTGAATATTCGAAGTCAAATTTCAGGATGCCGCGATGAAATGATACAAATTTGGTCTTGGATACATTTAGCTTTAGCTTGTTCCGGTTAAAGTATTCAACAAGCCTATTCAGGTCAGCTTGTAATTCCAGAAAGTCATCATACTGTCTTATCTGTTTCCATAAGCGAGTGTCATCAGCAAACGACTGAAGAATTGAGTAGTTTACGTGTTTTGGCAAATCAATGATGAACAGCAGAAACAATGCAGCACCAATCGGGTCTCCTTGTCCAGTTCCTGATGTAACTTCAATGGGGGGCTTGACATGTCATATAAGATTTGAGTAACCCCATTTTGGAGCGGTTTTTCGATAGCCGATTACTCAAAAAAATTGTTCCTACATAAAAAAAAGTAAATACACTACATTAAACTACATAAAATCTACAATTGAAATCGCCCTACCCGAAGTCATTTCGGAAAATCTACCAGATTTTGAATATTCATCTATTCAGTTTGACAATCTGTTGGCGACCACGACCATACAAATAAGACTTGATACACTTGAGTAATTGTTGATTCAATCCCATAATATCCAATTTGCGGATTAGTAAATCAACGTTGACCAAATCAAAGGCCTTCGCAATATCGCAAATAGTTTGTCGCTCGAGAAATGCATTAGTACCCCTGAAATTAGAAGCTCTCTATAATGAATTTGTTGATGTTTCTTCTAATTTCTGAATGGTATAATTTCCAAGGAGCCACTGTATACGAAGAAGATGTTCCTAATATTAAACGAAAGTTAGTTTATTACAAACTAACATGATCGTTTTTATTTGCACCCAACTGAAAATATAGGCCAATCCTTAGTTTACTCCAGTCACAAAATTTACCGTCTTATTTATGTCTACATCAGTAAATCACCACTGTACCGCATGTTTCATTATTGTGGTGCTATTCCTCGAAAACATTGGACCCGATCAATTAATTTTATCGTTGCCAATGGTAGAGGTTGAACATTGTAGAGGTTGTGGTAATTAAAATCATTTGTTGTTTTCAAGTGAAGTTTTTTTATTATTCTTTCCATTAAATTCATGTTCCAATTAACACTAAATGTTAGATTTATATTATTTGCTTAAAAATTAGTTGATTAATTCTGTGGGGTTTTGTTACTATCGTATGTATTCTTTGCATATCATCTATGCACGCAATTGCAAAGCATTAGAAAATATTTTAAATCAAGTACAACATATAGTGTGAATGTGTTTTTGTCAAGTGATATCATTAACGAAGCTCTAGAAATAATCATAAACATATGAAAGAAAATGGAATTAAGTTACTGAATTATGTATGTACCTTTTTTCAACATTCTTGACGTTGTTACCAACACAATATTATGCATATGTTATTCTGTTTATGCCCACAACATTATTTTACGTAGGATTCAATATTCTAAGATTATTATTTTCACTTTGTATCATTTGCCAATGTTAAAATAAAAGGCAATATTTAAAATAGTAGATGCTACGAATAGATTGACGCTACAGGCGGGGGAATGTCGGGATCTTAGAACAAATTGTATGTTTAAATTGATGATGTTATGAGGCTGCTTTTGACAGCGGTCTCATTCTTCACTTTGAAGAAGTAGTGTTTTGTCTTAAAATGATTGCAAATGAATTCGTTTAGTCATAGTATTTTTACTTACAAAATGTTGCCGAATTGCACAGTTACCATGCAAATGATAAATGATGCCAAAAAAGGAAATTGATCATGGTATCATCACAAGTAGTACGGACAACACCGATCGTTTCATGTTGTTACTACTGAAATATTATAGTTATCACGAAGTATGTCTAAAGAATAAGTCAAAACACCTTCACTCTTGTAAATATTATAATATGTGTAGTGTGTACAGCGGACAATTCAAGATGAGAAATCCTAAAATATGGTTCACTAAGTTTATCCGTTATGATGGTTGTTAATTCTTCTACTGGCTTAATCTCAATTTATTTTGTTATACAAAATTATGATCAAACTGAATTTTGAAAAAAAAGTTTCTATGATGAAATTTTTTACTTGTAACCCATGATTATACGCCATTTCGACTTTTGAATGATTTGATTAAATTTAAATACAATTACATTAACTTGACTGTCACACACACTTTCGCAAATTTCTTAAGTTCATCTTGAAAATAAATTCGTTTTTGTTTGCCTAGAAGCTAATTTGTTCACATTATTTCTAAAACTAATACCGTTGCATTTGTTTATCCACCGATTAATATTGGTTATTTCTGTTTGTTTGTTTTTTATTTACTTAAATTACTGAATCTATCAATCTAATAAATATTATCTCTGTGGTGATTTTCTTTTTCGCTCATTCTGTTATTGCCAATTAAATTTTTTCTCTTAATTTTTGGATGTTGTTTACAATCTTGTTGGACATTCACATTGCATCTTTGAAAATTAATGCCTCATATCGTCATCCATGCGGCACCGTTTTCTCGGACTGTCATTCATATCAAGGCTTTCTGCATCACTGTCAATTGCCTCACTGAGATCCCCATCACCATCACCCAGCTCTTCTTGTTTTCGTTTTGCCGTGGCCATTTCAGCTGCATGCTTTTTTCGCCACTTCATATAGAAAAAAATTATTCTTAATTATTTTTTTTCACATGGTGGCAGCAAGAGGATATTGTACCACTAGCAACATCTTGTTGGAGGGATAGTAATGCCCCATAAGTTGGTATACACTTGACGTTTCCTGTCAAACCTGTACAATGTATTTTTCAACACATTACTGTACCGTGCAACAAGGTGTCGCCTGTGGTATATTGCTTTATTAATTTTTCAATTATTTAATCTACTTTTTTATTATTTACCTTTGTACGTCGGTTCTGGAACCATACCTAATACAAATTGAAAAAAGGAATAGATGAGCATTAAATACGATTAAGGGCTTGTTGATTGCTTACAAAATATTTGAAATACTTGGGCATTTTGAAGAAAAATTACAATTTTAAGAAATAATATTCCAAATCAACCACAACATTGTTCAACGAAGTAGAGAGATTTTAAGCCATGGATTTTTTCCAAGAAGACTGAGTGAAGGAAAAGGGGGCAATATGAAAAAGCGCATTAATTGTTATAAATGACGGAACTGCTGCTAAATAATGAATTATAAACACTTTATGACAAAGCTATTTATCATTGTTTCTTTCCATTAATTATATAGTCACAGGTTTTTGAAACAGATACATCTAATTCGTACATTATGGTATAAACACTTGAATCGCACCAAAACTTTGCCTTCCAGAGTCATGTTGAAAAAACGAATGATATTAAATTTCTGCATAATAAAGTCAAAACAATTCCATTGATGTTGCAAAAGGCCGTTGATATGCCCATATATATATGTATGTTTCGTAACAAAACGAAAGAAATTTCTTTCCAAACGGTACACATATATCTACGACAAAAATATGGATCTAGCTCAATTTTCAGGTTCCACATTTTTATGTTCGGTAGCATATATTTAATGGAATCTTTATTACTGTTAATGTGACATTTTAATCTATTTATTAAATCAGCTATAATGCTTTTGTATGTGCTTTCAGGCTGATTTGGACCATTTATTGGGTCTGGGCATTAATTTCGAGCGCTTTTTCTTCGGAAAAACTCATTTATTTCTATGCCAAAATGAAAGTATTGTCAATCGGAAGCGACATCCTTTGCCTATATTTCGGGCAATTTACAGATACCATCCCAAAAAAATAACGGTACTTTTGACCCTATTGTGGTCGATCCATTTTTCGAGTCTTGAAAAAATAGTGAACCGTTCTCCACTTAGGTGATTTTGAATCGTCTGAAACGAGTGGTAGTCAGGAGGCGCAATGTCTGGAGAATACAGCGGGGGCATAAAGGTTATTTGAATTCACCTACTTCATAGAAATTTTTGACATTTTCGAAGAAAAGTCATTGAAATTTTTTACCACGGAGAACCAATTTTTTAGGACATTATGTAAATTGTTCAATTCTGCTGTCAAAAATTGGTAAATACTATATATCGATTATTTATTGTTTGGAACGATTAAATCTAACATTTCGACATGATTTTACCTATGCACAATGGAGAATTAATTATATTATTCACAATGGAGCATATCTTCCGCACCCTCGCATATATGGCAAATCACCCATTTTCGATTGACTAATTGCGGCGCCCTCCAAAATGACAAGGAGTAACGATCAACATATGGTTTTTTATGCTTGAGTCCTCCATCGAGAAGGGTCCATTCTTCATAATCAGTGCCAACCAGATGCAGAAATAATCTTTTTTTACATTTTTTCGTGTGAATTATCTAGCTCCCGCAAAAGACGATTTACAGACTCATCGATCTACAGGGTGAAAAACCAATCATTTTTCCGGACTTCAGAAAAATGAGACATACTGAAAAAGATAGTATTTTGACAGTACTTTAACATAATGTTAGTAAGAATATTGCCTGAATCGATAAAGCTTAGCGCTTTTGTTACATATATTTTCATTCGGATGAACATAATGTAATCTCTTTTCTATATAAAATAAAAATTCAAGCAGCAAAACATGAAACTGAAAATATGTTCAACAATAGTTTATACGATGTTTAAAAAAGGATAGAAGAAGAAGTCGTTATATGTATGAAGCCTATGGGATCGATTCAATGAAATTGGTCACATAAACTTAAGACCGCTAAAAAATTTGGAAAACTGATAAATTTGAAGTAAAATAAATGGGCTTACTTCTACTAAGACTAACTTTTCCGCACATATGGTCGACCATCATGGTTTACGTAATAAGAAATGATAGGTAAGGAATAAATCACGAACAAGGAGTATCATATAAAATACTTTGCACATTGAAACAGTAGTTTTAGATTATTTCAAAGTCCGAAAATATCGTTGATTAAGTAGATTGGGTGGTTCGAATTGATCTAATTTTCTACTTAACGTAAATATTTATGGTATTAAACATATGCTTCCGATTCAGCTTATTATATCCTGAGCTCTAAAGATTTTTCCGCGAAATAGTGACACAAATAATGATACAACTTGTATGGTGTGTGCTATAGGCCCCCAATTTCATCGTCCAAACCATCATCAGCATAAACATTTCCAGTGTTTTGCTCAAAATTGTGTAACACTTGTCGCATATACATATAATCCTGAGAAACCCTCAATGGTACTTTCTGGAGGTGGAAGGGTTTTTATGAATGCGTTATATCATCTGCACAATGCGTTTAATGTAATAAGTGAACGAAGGGTGGTGGAAAATTGTGGTTAAAATATGTTAAACTCATCTTAAGCATTTCGTAAAATATACCGGAATCACAATTTGTAGAACAAATGTTTCAGGGTATACTACGCGTGTGTACACTGTACAATCAAAATAATTTGCACTTTCGAAAACGAGATTGCGTGCAGAATGTACACCATTATATTTGTTGCAATAAAACTTCGACAAATATATTTTTACCAAAATATTAAACGCCATTCCTGCAATAAAAATGATTTTTGGGAAATGTGGTTGCTAGATGGGTTTAGCACGATAATTAATTATGTGACAAAATAAGGTTTCAGATTGGGAAACAATTTTTAACACAATAATAAGCGATATTTCTATATTTTTAAACCATGTTATCCAGGAGAATACACATTTCGGGTATTGGCCAAATGGAACATTATCCATTGCATGCTATCCATATTTCAATTCTAGAATTCTGGCAATATCATTCTGTAGGCTACACGCGTTTTTTGCACTTTGTTTTATGACACGTGTGTGTTTGTACAAATGTATACGAGTATGTGTGACGTGTGAAAAAGAAGAACAAAGCGAGACGAATAAATCCGTTACGAAGTTGGTTTTCCACGTAGTTCGTGTATAAATGTGCGGTGAATATGTCATTATGTATGAGAGAGAGTGTATTGCATCAGAAATATTTACCACAAACAGTCACACAGCCAAGAGCCAAGAGATGCGAATGTCTGTTGTTGAAGCGTACGGCAGGAATAATTGGACAGACCCGATAGAGAAAGAGGAAAAGTCTTACTTTGCACATCTGTGACCGGATGGATAATGTAGAGAAAACCACCCTTAATGATGTGTACCGTTTGTTATGTTCGTACACAAAAACACAGCCATGAAACACAATAATATACATTCAAACGTTTATACAGAAAATTTACGTGTTTTTTAATAACAAATAATACGATCTATTATTGTGATAAATTGTAAAGTATATTTTGATACCATAAAACAGAGGAAAATGGGTCTCCTCGGTATAAGAATATCATAATGACCGAAACAAACGTGGGATAAGAAAGCTTTGTGCGTTTTTGGATGTCGGCAACATTTGCAATATGTGTGCTCTTCTTGTTTTTTAGTTGTGTGATTTTAATTTTGGGTACTTATTCATTTTAATCGTGCTAAGGCAAACTGTTTAATTTCGATCTAATTTGCGTTAATCATAATATAACAATTATTAATCGTTCAATGTGTAAAATTGATTATTTTCGGACACATAAAAACCATCAGCTACATCTCTGACCCGAAATTCATTGCAATTACTTGTTTGATTTTCTCAAATATAATTAAAAAAGGAAAATTTCCATGCCGAGCAGTAAGACCACTGATTAGTTATAATAAGAATTTTGAAAATATGTTCACTAATTCGGAAGAAATACAAGTGTTGCATTTGAATTTGCGTGAAAGCACTCAACATACTCACACGTCGGTTCGCTGATTACATCTTCATTTGGTCGTATTCATTAATATTATTTTCTCGTAAAAATGAATACTGCACAGATTGTGCGTGAGAGAAGCCTCGTCTGAGGAGGGAAACCAGTCTGATTATAATATCCGGTGAAAATTGCTCGAAATCTGCAGACAGCGCTCAATGCATTAGTCATAACACAATCTTGCATGGCTGGTCGTTATTTTGCGGGCCAAGATACAGCCATATGGCTTTTGCTTTGCGATAATGACGATTTTAATTATCGTTTATTCGCACAATATTATGGGAGTGCCATACGTGCCTTGATTTCATTCGTATATCTTTATTTTGTTGAATACAAATCATGGCACTTTATAGGGATTTGTAATTTGTATTGCATTCATTTTCAGTGTAATCGTAAGGAACAATAGAAACATTTAACTCTAAATTCATTTGTCATTCGAATAATGTCAATACTTGAAATGAAATATCTTGACACACTTCTCGATTGGCATTGCATTTAGTGTGGCAAATTGACGCTACGAATCTTCCTTTCGAAAAAAAGATTTTCTGGTGAAAAAAGAGATGAAACGCCGATTGATAAACTAAAATATTCCACTGGCCCAATATATGTGGTGAAATTCTGCGAACAGCATTAAATTCAAATGGTGACAATTTGAAAGTCAGCAACATTGCCAAAGTAGCGAAGTTAATGGCATTTCCATTCCAAGCGGGCTTCATGCCACCCAGATCAAAGATAAAAGATTGACAAATTACTTCTGTGAATACGATGGTTTAACGCAGCTGATAAAAAGGAGGAATAAGGGATTGATTTGGACCAAGTAAAACTACCAAATGGTTGCTATATAAAAGGATTTTAATGTTATCTTTTTACTGTATTTAAAAAGCCCCTTTCTTGCGTACAATATGCTGATATTAACATACAATCGCCTTTTTAAAATTAACACCACCATATTACTAATAGACCAAGTGCCCACCGTACAAACAACTTTTTTTCTTGTGCACTGCAGAAATTCATAAAATTAACATCTTCCCACAATACTCTAATAGAAATGTACCACTTTTTTCAATGAAATTGGGCGGATCGCTTTATTCGCGGCTTTATTCGCGCTACGCGAAAAAGTATACTTTTTTCG